TAGGCCTACCAGATATGGGTGTCATGCCATAAAATATTGTTTAATACGAATGACTTTGTATTAATGTGAATTTAATAACAATATTGTAAGTTACTATTTTATAACATTTTCATTTTACAGAGAGCAAAGAACATTTACATTATCAAAGAACATTTTCACTTCAGTCTAGCCAGAGTTCAGGCAGTCTTAAAAACTCCCATTTAAGTCACTGAAGCTGTTTACAATGAATATCTTACATTCATACGCACATTTGCACAGTCAGCGAGCGAGTGAACAAAACACTGCATTCAGCGATGACTCATCAGACGCTCCTCTGTGTGTCGTTCATCTGTCTGGGTCAGATTAGCTCATCAATAACACTGTACTGCTGTGATGTTGTGTGTGTGTGTGTGTGTTCAGGTGCGGCGTGTGTGTCCAACGACAGCTCTCAGTGGCTCATCAGTAACTTCGGCCAGTTCTCTGCTCTCCTTCCTCTGAATCAGCTGATCTCACTCAACCCACAGTTCAACCCGGTACAGTCACTAAAACACGTTTACACCGCAAACAGTCACTGCACTCATCAGGATTTACTCTAAAACATGGTAGTGTTACCTGAGAAGCAAACCTGAGAAAGATATTAAGGCGTTTTTCTTGTTTGAAGCATAAACTGATACATTGATGTGGGCGTGGCTCTCACATTTGTATGCAGATGAGCATGAGATTGCAGGGGCGGGGTTTAAGGCGGGGCTTGATTCTGTGGCTGTGTCCGAAAGCTCTAAAATGCTGCCTTCGGAGGCAGGAAGGCATCAAGGCACATCCGAATCCAAATTCTGCTTCACTTCCTGTCTCCGGAGGTACCTTCTTCTGATCGAATTTTGAAGGCAGCATAGATGTATCCTTCGCTGCCTTTGATATCCCACAATCCTGTGTGTTCCATTCCGTGACGGTTGAGATAAAAAATAAAGATGGCATAAAAAACGCTGCCTGCAAAGTCATTGCCTCATACGGCAGCGAGGCAGCAAGTCAGCAGCCTAGGCTTTCGGACGCAGCCTGTGTGTCAGTTGCTGATTGTATGTTTAGATGTGGGCGTGGCTCTTCAAAATGGAGGCGGATCTGAATGCAATCTTGCAGTAGATCATAAGAAAGGGGCGGAGTTTTAGTGGATTACATGATTGGAGAAATCTGACGTTTCACTGGAAGTTATGACATTCTGATTAAACTATACTGTGTTATTAATAAGTGAAATGTATGTACAGATGAATTGCTCACAATAAGGTCTATTACTTGCATTTAGAAATTGAGGTGAATTTTCCTTGCGTGCTGACTTTAGCACAAGTAAGACATTTAGTTCAAGATTCTCTTAGAACAGGACACAGTATCTTCCACAGTTTTGCTTCTCAAGATATTTTACTGGAAAACAAGCTTCCTCTTGTTCTTGAAGTGTGGAAGAGTTTTAACTTGGTCTTTGCTTGCGTTCTTCTCTGTTTCCAGATGAGCGGCCTGCTCTATCTCTCTCCAGAGCAGCTGGTTGGGCTGATGTTTGATGACGTTCCTGGTCTTCCAGAGAAAAGTGTGGTCATCAATGCCGTGTTTGATCACCTGACCGCGTCTCCACAGAAAGAGAGGATCCTCTCCACGCTTCCCATCATGGTGGAGTCATCAAAGACGGTAAAAGAGTTTTTCAGTCCACTTTTGCATCTGTTTCTCATTGCTGTCCCACCATTGACACCCAGATGTGTTTCTTTCTGACAGAGGAACGTCTCCTGCGCGTCATATCAGATCATGTGAGTGTCGTCATGTGTTTGGTGTGCTGAATCTCACGGTCTCGTGCTCACGCGTCTGTCTGTCCGTCTGTTTGCTAGCTTCCACCATCTGGATCATCTGATGGTCAGCGTGCCGGTGGATCTGGAGTCAGTGATTCTGAGGAGTAAATCAGCACTTCTTCAGAACGTGCCGCAGGGTGAGACCAGAGCACTTTCACTATCATGAGACATATTCACCTGAATTATATCAAACGTTACAGGAATGTGCTTCACTCACTCACTCACTCACTCACTCACTCACTCACTCACTCACTCACTCACACACACACACACTCACACACACTCAGACTCACACACACACTCATGAGTCTCTCTCTCTCTCTGTGTCTCAGGTTGTGTGAGCTCCAGCGGACAGGTGAGTGTTGAAGGTGCCCTGGTGAAAAAGACGGGTGCTTTATTGTATTGAATGTGCACTTGTAGTGTACTTCAAATCTTAAAAGTCTATTTAAAAAGACTGTACTTAAAGAGAGACACTTTCATGACTATGTTTCTCGACACACTTAAGTACACTTTTAAACTTTTAATTTGTAAACTAAAACTTACAGTACATTTAAAAGGGCATTTCAAGTCACTATGTTTTAATAATCTTTTGTCGTGTTTTAAAGAAGTACACTTATTTTGATGTGCTGACTAACATACTAAAGCACTTGTAAAGTACTGGATTGTAATTTTTGTGTTATTTAATTTAACTAATTGCAGCTTCATCATTACAAATATATTTAAATACATGAACACAAGTTTGAATGGAAATGACATTGAATTGTATTTTAGTTGATTATAAATTCAGCAGTTCTTTAACGGTATTTCAAAGACAGTGAAAGTAATAATGAAACTACATATAAAGATGCATTTAAGTGGGTCAAAAAGCACACTTAAGTTCAACTAGTGCACTTAATAGAAATTTAAACTGTAATGCATTTTCATTTAATTGGAAATAACCTGCAGATACATTGTTACACAAGTACGTAAGTTTCTGAAAACATTGCATTGACTTTGCACTTGAGTATAGTATTTGAATTACATTATTTGCATAATAAGTACTCTTTTTAAAAGTATGCTGATGATTTAAGCTCATGTGATGCTCATGTGTGTCTCTTCTGTCTCTTCCAGTGTGGCGTCACACCAGTGAACGGTTAGTGATCGTCTCTGAGTGGCCTGTTTGTTTAGTTTGGTTATTTCTGTCTGTAATCGTGTGCTGTGTGAGCTGACGGATGTCTCTCTCTCTCTGTCTCTCTCTCAGAAACGACAGTTTGCAGGAGCAGCAACAGGTGAAAAAACTTCAATAATCTTCAGATGATTTTATAACTCAAAAGAGCCATGCTTTCAATTGATTATTTGAAGAAACAATTGGCCGATTAATCGATTATTAAAATAATCATTAGTCAGCCCTAGTTCTGATTGGCCATCTGCGGAATATCTGTGTTCTGATTGGCTGTTTGAGACATATCTGTGTTCTGATTGGCCATTTGAAGTGTACCTGTCATACTCATAAGTAAGTGTGTGTGTGTGTTACAGCTCTGGTCTGTCGGCTTATCTCAGCTCGTCTCATGATGGCAGTCGGCTCTGTGAATTCAGCATCACACAGTACGCTTGTGCAGAGGTACGTGAAACACACCATACACAGACGTGTGAACACGGTCGCCGTGATTTTGCCAAGTAAGACATGTTCCTGAATCAACATTACTGTCCAAAATACAGACTTAACCCAATCCCTACCCCTAAACCTAACCTTACCCATAATGTATTCCTAAAATCAGAGGGAAATGATAGCTGATTAACAGGCCTAAAACTGACATTTCCTGAAAAGTTATCTCTCAATTCTGATTGGTTGATTGGAATGATGTTCCAGGATCAACAAGGATGTTGATCCAGGAACATGTTGTTCTTGGTCAAATCACGCTCACCAATCCTGAAGAGTCATAGCAACAGAGCGGAGGCGAGAAAGCGGCGGAGAATCCGCTCGCCCGGAAACAACCGCAACTGACTTAGATTGACAGAAAATTACCGTTGTTTTCAAATAAATAATTTTACATGCTAATTCCTAACACTTTATTAAGCTTTAAGTCACATCTCAAATGACAAGGGTTCAACTTATAATCATGTTTATATTAATTAGCCCGTGAACTCTTCTCT